TTTTGTGTCGTTTCATAGTAACTAATATTTAAGTTTGTATAAACTCTTGTTTAGTTATAATTGTATGTTTGGTTATGTATATTTATGTTTGATTTCACTTATTTTTAAATAGAATTTCATACGATCGTCTTACTTATTGTTTCTATGGGGATATACATTAGGGTGGAGTGCTGTTATATGGAGAAAAATAAAATAACTATTTTCACAAACGCGGGGTGCGGTATCGATGGTACTGTGGGACAGTATTGGAAAAGTTCATTGTCATTTTTTTATATTTCCACTCTGACATCTGCCCCAACGTGATATAAAATTTTGAAAGTTATAAAAAAAAATTTTTTTTCATGCGCGGGGTGTGGTATGTGTTGCCGTCTGTGGACCACAGAGGAGAGATGGATGTATTAAGAATAAGCTGAAAGCATTCCTTTTGATGCCTAAATTTGACAGTAAGAAAGACTATCATTCATAATGATTTTTTATGTTATTCTTGAATTTGTAAGGATTTTTTTTTTTTATTTTGTATTAACTATTTTTTCTTTTTTTCTTCGTATTATTTATAATCCTAATAGTTCAAATAAATTAATAAAAAGCATCGTTGACTCTGTCGAATTAAAATTTTTTTTACAAAATTCCAAAATTTCAATCATCTTGGGGCACTTTTCAGACTGAAAATGCCAAAAAATGTCATTTAAGTTTTTCATTCGAAAATGGAAGACGCATCACTTCCGTGCCCCGCAAAAATGAAATTCGAAAAAATAAATTTGAGCTCCACCCTAATATACATACCCAATGCGAAAGGGGGAAACCAACGAGTTCTGGATTGAACAGAATATATTCTCTCCCCTTTCTGATGACTCCAATTGTTATATTGAAGTCATCGTATGTGCAGAACGCAACATCGACAGCATTTGATACAATTAGATTCCATTCAATTTTCTTCGATTCGATTCAATCCCATTTGATTTCGTTCGATTTAATTGAATCGATTCGATTTCATTCCATTCGAATCATTTTGATTTGATTCGTACTGTGTGGTCGTACGATTTACGTTTCATTGCGTTTCTTTTGTTTTTATTTTGTTACACATGTTTTGTTACAATCTATTTCACCAATCAATGCATACCATCCGTAACCTGCGATAAGAAAGCTATGCTTTCAAAAATGTATTGGTTTCTTGGACGTTATTCTAGATGCTGCTCTATTATCTGATCCTCAAGCCTGTTATGGCATACATTTATGGGATTGTGCCAGCAAAAGTTACAGATAATTTTAACGTTTCCAGAACAAGGTACTAAGAAATATCATTGAGGCTCCTTGGTACATTAGAAACACATTCGTAACTAACATGTCAGTAGGTGCAATGAAATGATATTAGAAAATATATATATTAAACCGGTTTTATAGCGTTCTACGCCTTTCCGTTCCTAATCGCCACTCTTTTCTATTATGGCAGTGTTCATCTCTCAAATTTCGTTCCGACATTGCCTTGGAGATGCCTTTCATCCATGTGGTTACTGGTCTTCCTCGTTTTCGTTTTTCTGTGGGGGTCCATTCTAACACTTTCTTGGGGATTCTTCTTTCCTCCATTCGTCTTACGTGCCCGTACCATACTAGCTGTTGTCTTTCAATGTCATCTATGATTGTTCTTTCTATTTCCATTTGTTGTCTAATGTCGTCGTTTCTTATGTGTTCTAATCTAGATCTTCTTGCTGACCTTCTCCAAAAATCCATCTCAGTGGCTAGTAATTTATCCTTGTATTTCTTAGTTAATTGCCAGACTTCAGCTCCATAAGTTAACACTGGTTTTAATATTGTGTTGTAAATTCGTTTTTTATTTCTGTTCTTATATTTTTTTGCCACAGTACCGAATTCAGGGCTCCTATCACCTGTCTTCCCTTTACTATTCTGTCTTTAATATTTTCTTCGGTTCGTCCTGTGCTCGTTAGTTTTATTCCCAGATATACATATTCCTTACAGCTTGTAATTGTCTCCTGTTCCAGGTTCAGGTTCTCTGTTTCTTCTCTGCCTACACATAGATATTGTGTTTTTTTGGTGTTTACCTCCAGACCCCATTTTCTGTATTCCTCTATCAGTTTCCTTGTCATATATTCAAGATCTTCTTTGTCCTGTGCAATTACAATTTGGTCATCTGCATAGTGTAGCGTATAGAGTATCGTATCTCCTATCGGTAGTCCCATTCCATTGCACTTCTTCTTCCACTGCCTCAGGGCTTCATCAATATATATATTAAATAATACTGGCGATACACAGCATCCTTGCCTTAGTCCTTTAGTGACGAGGAAACCTTTGGATATTCTATTTCCAATTTTAATTTTAGATGTCGAGTTTCTATATAGTTCTTTCAGCGCCTGTATGATAGATACATTTATGCTGGTTTTTTTCTAGTACTTCCCATAGTCTATTAATGGGTACCGTGTCATATGCCTTTGTTAGATCTACCATAAGCAAATGCAACTCTTGGGCTCTTGACAGCCTCTTTTCTATTACTTGGGTTATACAGAAAATGTTGTCTATTGTGGATCTACCTGCTCTAAATCCGCTTTGTTCCTCTGACTCGTATGGATGGTACTCTTCACATATGAGGTCTTTTAGTATTCTTCCGTATAGTCGACTTAGTGTGCTAGTTACGGTAATACCTCTGTAGTTATTTGGGTCTTGTTTACTACCTTTCTTGTGTATAGATGTTATCCATCCCTCTTTCCATGTCTGTGGTACCGGTTCTCCATTTAGATATCTGTTAAATAATATTGTTATTATTTTTGCTAGTTTGTCAGTACCATTTTTTAGTAGTTCTGCGGGTATTCCTTCCGGACCTGGGGCGCGGCCGTTTTTTAATAAGGTTATTGCCTTTTTGATATGTTCCTCATTTATATTTATTGGCTGTCCTGTTATCTCGATTATGTTTTGTGATGTGGTACTGTATTCTGGTCTTTTTTCTACTAATAGTGTTTTGTAGTGCTCTTCCCATTTCATTGTTGTTATGGGGTTTATCATAGTTTCTTCTCTTTTGTTAGTTCTGACATTTTTAATAAATCTCCAGGCTTCCCTAGATTTTCGTCCTCCGATGTACGTGTCCAGCTCCTGACATTTATCTTCCCATTTTTGATTTTTGGCGTTTATTACATCCGTTTTGAACTTACTACGTGCTTGCTGATATTCACTTTTTTTTTTTTGTTTTCTCTGTTATTTAGCCACTTATGGTATACTTCCTGTTTATGTTTTTTCATTTCTTCTAGCTGATCATTCCACCAGTAATTTCTAACTTCTCGCTTTTTCGTTGTGATACCTAAAGTTTCTTGTGCCGCTTTGTGTATTCCATTTATTATTGTTCTGTAGAGATTTTCCGTTGTTTCTCGTTCGTATTCTCTAGGAAGAGCTTGATCCAATCTGCTCTTGTACAAATATTGTGTGCTTTGATTTTCCAAGCTATTAATATTGTAGTGTGGTATATCTATATTTGTAAGCTCTTCGTCATTTTCTGCTCCATTTTGTTGATGCTTATCATTTCTAAATCTAGGTATGTATATTTTCGCTTTAACTAGATGATGATCGCTGCCACATTCTGCTCCTCTGTATACTCTTATGTCATTCACTTTGAGCTGTGTTTTTTGTTTAATGATCATATAGTCAATTACTGATCTAAGGTTTCTGGTGTATTGTGTCCATGTATAGGTGTGGATATCTTTATGTTTGTAGTATCCATTAGTGATTCTAAGTGAATTTCGTTGGCATACTTCAATCAGTCTGTTACCATTATCATTTAAGACGTTTTCACCGAAAGGTCCTGTAACTTTATTGTTTTGTTTGCTGCCCGTTCTGGCGTTAAGGTCTCCCAAAATCACAATTTCTCGTGTGATGCCTATTTGTGATATTGTTTCATCTAAAGACTCATAGTACTTTTCTTTTTCCTCTATTCTAGCATCTTCGTTGGGTCCATACGTACCAATAACTGAGATTCGATGTGATTTTAAGTTTATGTTTATCTTTATTATTCGTTCATTGATTATTTCCCAGCTAGTGATGTTTTTCTTATATTTCTTTTTGACTAGTATTGACACTCCTCCTTTCGCATGTTCTTCCTTTTTTACTCCACCATATATGTGTATATACTTATCTATATTTTGGGTACCCTGTCCTTTTTTCTTTGTTTCTGTTAGTACTATCAGATCTATTTTCTCTTTGTCAATTTCTCGTATTATTTCTTCCATCTTACTTCTAACACCCCTCACATTCCACGTACCAAAAATCATTGTCCTTTTTCGTTGCTGTTGTCGTCTTAAGTTTTCCGTCTTGTTCCGAGGCTGATTAGGATTTTTTGCGGTATAAGAATACAGATAATGGGTTGCAGGCCCATTGCTCCGTTTGATTTTCTGTAGGGGTTTCTTCCCTTAGCCGATGTGTCCCAGTTTTGAGGCGCCAGGAACTCGCCTTTTACCCATCTCTCGTCGGTTACATCACGTACACCCATTGTACGCAAAGCATCCAGCGGATACGCGACACTGTTGTGTCTTCGAGGACGTGAGAGTAGGATTTGTTGGTAGAGCTGAGTTCTATTTCTAGAACCCCCAACTCATTCGTTGGGAAACAGTGGGCATTTCTCGGAGTTTTATTGCGATCAGGGTATCGGCATCCCATCACGCCTCCAAGACCCTTTACCAACCTTAACCGCCTTAAATATTAGAAAATCAGGGCATAAATAGATACTGCTTACTAAGGTTTTACAAAGTTTAATTTTATATTAAAAATAAGTTACTCATTGTTCTTTCAGTGAACAGATTATAATGTTATTCAGAATTGTGCACAAACAATTGATCATGTTGATGAGTATTTTCGTTTGCTTATATTTAAAAGTTCACAACATTGAACCAAGTCTTTTTATTCCAATTCAAAAAAGACTACATAACAATTAATAATATTAATGTATTGTTAATCTTCTTATAGGTATTCTTCACACCCAAAGAGTTCTTGCTGAGATAACTGAAATGGTCCGCACAAGTAACATCATCCACAAAAGTGTTCTAAATATAACAACAGAAGATGAATTTCAAGAAGATCTTCACTTTGGTAATAAGCTGTCACTCCTGACAGGTGACTACCTCCTTAGTAATAGTTTTCGTGAACTAGCAGCCTTAAAATGTCATCCTGTCAATGAACTTATATCTACTGCTCTTAGAGATTTGGTGGAAGCTACTTTTATAGAACCCAGAGACAAGTAAATTCATAAACCAACAAAAATATCAGTAAATCATTGTTTTTATTCTAGACAAAATAGACCTGTTCCTGCTTCACCACTCTCTGAACAAAAAAAACTTTTAGTTCCACATGAGTACGAACAGGATCTCCTACAATTATCTGAAGTTTTGGGGAATGCAAAAGCAGAATGGACTTTGAGGCATTTGTTGGATGGTGCTAGTTTGTTAGGAAAATGTTGTCAGGTAAGATAGTGTTGTTTAATGATGTTACAGTTTGGGAAATATATTTAAGTGATTTTGCCAAGTCATCTTATTTTATTTCTCATGTGCAATGCCTTTATTCTTAAATTTAAACAAGTAAAATATTAATATTTTAGGCAGCTCTAATGTTGGCACACCACTCAGAAACTCTAGAGAAGTCTGCATATATATTTGGAAGAAATATAGCACTAGCACTACAAATTAAAAAAGACATCTTACAAATAAGCACCAGTCAAACTGGACCATTCAGCTTAATCAATGCTCCATTGATGTACCATCTTCAAGAGTGCCCAGATTTCTATGTTGACCTCATGAAAGAGGTTGACAATGATGATATTAACTATGACAGAATAAGAAATGTTGTTTCGAGAAGTAAAGGAACAAGAAAAGCTTTAGAATTACAGGCAGAATTTGTTGTTAATGGAAAGGCAGCACTAAATGAATTTTCTGATAATAATGCCAAGAATGCTCTGGTTAAAATATTAGAAGCAATGTAATAAAATAAGTTTACAGGTCGTTTTTTAATATATACAGGGTGGTCCTTAAGTAATTGTACAAAAAGAAACCGTAGATTCTACACTTTAAAATATTACGATTTAAGCCAAATTTCTTTAATAAAATGTTAATATTAAGAAAGATACAGGGTATTAAAGAAGAAATTCAAAATTTTATTTTTCGCTATAACTTTCATGTTTGCCAACATTTATGTATAAAAGTTTACAACTGGATACTATTAAATATCAGAAATTATAATTTGATGTATACTTTGATGTAGCCGATAGAGGGCGCCACGTATGCCACATATGTGCCCTACATTTGCACTTAACTTTCTTGCTCTTCAAGTTACCAATATTTTTAATAAAAAATATTAAAAATACATTATTTTAACAAAAAAAAAGGTATGCTTGTTATTATCTTCAAAAATCAACAGTTTTCGAGATAATCGCATTTTAGAAATCAACTACATAATTCTGATTTATCGCAATTACTCCAGGAGCGAAAGAAAATGAAAGAAAAACATCAATACTTCTGAATGTTGAAAATACCTTTAATAAAGTTAATATTTAACGAATTATTAAATAAAATAAATATATCAGCAGGATAAAATAATAGTATTTGATAAATAACAGAATAATTGGATTTTACATCAAACATTTTACGTTTTGTATTAAATTCAAGTCATAATCAAAACATTTTATTTACAAACCAAATTAAGAAATAGTTAAACTAAATAACGTTAACCTTTTTGTCAATACATTCCATAAAATATCGTCTCATATTAAATAGCATCATTGGTTCTAAAGAAACTGCTGCAGTATTTACTATAAGTGTTATAAGTATAATAATAAGTAATTTTTTGAAATTTTTAGAATTAAATAATTATATTAATATCTCACCACAAGAATATGACTACCAGGAACAATCCAACGTTCAGGAAAGTTTTATTTAAATACTGTCTCACTCCGCTTTCTCTGTTTGCCTTTTTTGCCTTAAGACCTTAAGTTTGATGACAATTCTTCCAATAAATTAATAAAATCATTGTATAAAAAATGTAAATAAATCTCGACATTCAAATTGCAAGGTAATTCGCATATCCGTAAAAAATAATTACCAATGGTTCCAAACCATAGGACATGCATTTTAAATATGAATTTTGAATGATATTTTACGGATATACGAATTACCTTGCAATTTGAATGGGAAGATTTATTTACAATTTTTATAAAATGATTTTATTGTTTTATTGGAAGAATTGATATCAAAAGTACTGCAGCAGTTTCTTTAGAACCAATATTATATGCTATTTAATATGAGACGATATTTTATGGAATGTATTGACAAATAAATTAAAGAAAATGGTGGACGTATCAAACACTTTGAAAAAAGTTTAATGTTATTTAGTTTTAACTATTTGTTATTTCTTAATTTGGTTTGTAAATAAAATGTTTTGATTATGGCTTAAATTTAATACAAAACGTAAAATGTTTGATGTAAAATCCAATTATTCTGTTATTTTATCAAATTCAATTATTAATTATCCTGCTGGTATATTTATTTTATTTAATATTTCATTAACTAATAACTTCATTAAAGGTATTTTATAACAAAATTCAGAAGTATTGATGTTTTTATCCATTTTTCAAACATTGAATGGAGTAATTGCGTTAAATCAGAATTATGCAGTTGATTTGCAAAATGCCATTATCTCGACAACTGTTGAGTTTTGAAGATATTAACAAGTATACCTTTTTTTGTTAAAATAATATATCTTTAATATTTTTTATCAAAAATACCGGTAACTTGAAGAACAATGTATGCCACGTATGTGGCATATGTGACGCCCTCTATTAGCTATATCAAAGTATACATCAAATTATAATTTCTGATATATAATAGTATCCAGTTGTAAATTTTTATACATAAATGTTTAAAAACATGAAAGTTATAGCGAAAAATAAAATTTTAAATTTCCACTTTAACACCCTGTATCTTTTTTAATATCAACATTTTATTAAAGCACGTTGCTTTATTCGTAATATTTTGAAGTGTTGAATCTGCGGTTTCTTTTGTACAATTACATATGGACCACCCTGTATATGTATATATATATATATATATATATATATATATATATATATATATATATATATATATATATATATAGGTTATTCCACGAATATACGACTGTTTTGGATTATTGCTACAACGAATATTTTACTGTGTAAGTAGAAGTTTGAAAGTAAATTGGTCTAAACAGTATTCCAATAAAATGGATCTACTGTTAGTTTGACATTTAAACTAAAATTATTAATAGATGTTCAGATAGACGCAAAATTTATTGTGAAATTTAATCCGAAAATAACAAAAATTTTTACACAAACGGTCCTACAAATAAATACAATGACGTCTATAAAGCCAAAATGTGTTCATAAGACATTTGGGTTGGGTTTCCGTGAAATGTAAACACCAAAGAGGCTTGCCGGGTTTCTTTGATATAACACATTTTATTACTTTATTAGGTATTATAACTGTAATAAAAAGAAATATACTATTTTTAATATAAGTGAAAAGAAATTGGCAGAACGATGGTTGAGAAACTAGAAAAAGGATCTAATATTTCACTTTGTTAGTTTTAAATATTTGTTTGCTTTGCGTGGGTTTCGAAACTCTTAAAAGTTTCAAAAGTAACGGGTATAACATACCAACTATTGATAGTTAAAGTACCGAGTCGTTACAGATTAAAAAGTAACGAAAATTTACATACAGTTGCATATATCGCCGACTGATTTTAATTTTAAAAACCATCAGTATAGAGGTGTCCGGTGAAGAGAGGTGCCGTTAAGAGAGAGTTTAGTGTAGTGTATTTGTTTATTTATAAGCCAAAAATGCCGAGACGTTTTTAGATATAGACAACTTTATATTTAATGTACTTTCTCATTGTAAAGTTCTGTGAATATGATGGTTGATGATAGTTTTAGGAGGTTAGGAGAATTAGAGAATAAGTAAGTTTTTTTGTTTTTTTAATACTAATTGAATATTCGACTAAACAAATTACACTATTTAATCACCTAAGTATTGTTACTCTTCGCTTAAATCACTTAATTAAAACACCAACTTGTTTACAATACTAAACTCAATGATAGTAATTATATACTTCAAAATATGAATTACAACTATTCTATAAACTATCAACTCTATATTTATTACATGACTAAAAATGGGGAGAATTTACTATTGTACAATTCAGTACATTGGACCATTCAAATAGATACATTAAACAAAATTTAAAACAGTCGTATATTCGTGGAATGGAGTATATATATATATATATATATATATATATATATATATATATATATATATATACAGTGTGTCCAATTAAGTCGGCATCATATAGGAAACTTTTTAATTATTACTTTTATGAAATAAGTTATTCTTTATAAAAAGTTGTACATGGTCTAAAACCTAGGTGCAATCATCAGATATCGAAGGGTACTCCCCGTTAAGATGAGTAAAATGCAATCACTATTAGAATTCAATTTTTTCATGTTTTTATGTTCTATGCGATTAAAAAATAAGGCTTAAGGCAATTTTAGCCCGCCATTTCCCATCCCCACTCCCTACCCACCAAAAACGTTAATCTATCGTTATTATTTTTTTTAGGTAGCGTCCAATCATTTTAAAAAAATCACACGCGTGTTTAAAGCTTTTACAAAATTTATCTATTTTTTATATACCCGTAGGGGTTGATCTTCACACTCAATTAATTTGTTTCTGATCCTAGAGATGGCTCTACTGCGGCATGCTGCATTGGTAAATTTGTTTAACTTAATTCTAGATTTCACGATGACTGTAATATTTTCAAACCCTAACATAAATTATAGTTTTCTATCATTATATCCATTGGTTGAGTTGATAAATTGTGTAGACAGTAATTTTATCAAATACAATATAACTTTATTACATTACTAGTAGACCAAGTAAGCAAAGATACCTATCTTTAACAACATCTTTATGTATAATATTTTAATGCTCTGATGTGTCAATTGGAATAAAATATACCAAATAAACAAAGTTATGCATTTGCAGGAATATTTGTATAAAAATCCATCCACATATTGAAAAATGATTCATTCATAAACACTTTTATCTACAAAGAAATTTGTAGGTACTTACGCCGCAATATCTGTGAATATCGCATTACCATTAAATTTATATATGTCGTCATATATTACATTTTTGTTGATAATTAAACATTGAATGACCTGGTATTACTAAATATTTTAGTGGGAATTAGGTATATTATAAATGGTCAATCCTCAAAAAAAAATTTTTAAAATATGCGAACATGTCTTTCTTTTGGTCTGTTTATTACTGTTTTTAGGTTTGTTATCTTCCTAATTAGTGCGTCTTCTTTTCTTCTTTGTATGTGTCCAAACCATCTCAGTCTTTGTTGATTAATAAATTTTACTATTTCTTCCCCTTCGGTTAAATTTCTATTTCTTATTTCATACTTCATTAGTCTTCTATATTCTCCTTGTTCTGGCTTTATTGGGCTGTGTATTTTTATAATTTTTCTTTCAATAATTCTTACTTTTTCTTTTCTTCATCTTTTTTCGTAAGACACATTACTTCCACTATATATGCTATCACCGGTCTAATTGCTGCTGTGTATATTTTTGTCTTTGTTTTTTTGCTTATTTTTTATCTTTAATTAGTGGGTGATATTTCCAAAACACCTCGTTCTTCTCCCGTATTGTATTCGTGGCAGTGTCATGCATTGGATTTATTATTTGGGATGGTTGATGCGTATTTAGTTAGCACGGTTCTATTTGGTCTATTCAGCTCTTCAGTTTCCGTATTCGACCATTTTTTAACGCCAAATGAGTATGTGAGAGTGGTATTGCGTATGTGTTTATTGGTTTTACTATGTGCTTAGAACTAAGTTTGCTTTTGAGTATTATTGCGGTATTAAAAGGATTGAGCTCTGGTGGGACTCTTTCCGTGTTATCGATCCCTAGGTGACTTGGT